GGGGGGCGGGGAGAGAGGCAGGGTTTGGAATTTAGGCTGAAGTTCAGCCCTCTCTCAGTTCCTTAGTTCCTAATTCTTCGACAGAGCAAAATCTGTGTAAATATCCACGTCCATTGGACCGGGGCAAAGGTACACCAAACATGGCAACTTCATTTTTTTACCCCTCTCCCAACTCATTACTTATTTAGGGCAACAGCTTTTTAAATGTGATCCTAGAAATCAGAATCAACTGAGGAGCCTCTTAACATGCAGATTTCTAAGCCTCGCCCTTGGCCAACTGATTCTGAATCTCAGGACATGGGGCCCAGGAATCTGCTTTTTAACAAAAGTTCTAGGTGATTCTGATGTGTAATCTTATGCAGACTCATCCATGAAACTTCTTAAAGAAGAAAGATGGTCTGTCCTAATTCTGTTGTAGCCTTAATATCAGTATACAGTCTGAGGTTCACTCTAGGTATTGGATAAATGTTTGTTGAACAAGTGAATAAAACCCCAGATACTAATAACTGTCATAAATAAGGCTAATTTCTAAGGGTGAGTCATTTTTAAAATCATATGTAAAAACAATGCAGGACCCTTGTACCTGATGATTTCACCTTAACTGAGAAATCCTAGCATAATGGAAATTGACAGTGTGGTGTCAGGTGCTTTGAAAAGAGTATGCAAATATCACTGAATTAGTTAATTGAAAATATTTCTTAATTCCCATACTTTTAAGTATTAAAAATGAAAACAGTCACCAAAGAAAATGTTAATGTACTTAAATATAATTTTTATTATATGACAGGACCACATTTTCTCTGAAACACACCCTTGAAATTATTAAGGAAATTATTACATGCACACACATATTTCAGTAAAATATGACAGATTTAATTTCCTGTTACTTGTCACAAGTGGTGATTGATTCTATAAGGAATTGACCAGTTCCTAGATGATGTCGCTGGGTGATGGTGTAGGCTAGACGATTCTAGATTGGTGGCCTTGTTTCTTTGCTAAAAATCTCTTCCCTTATTTCTGACACTGCCCATACAGTAACCTCTAGGTGTTTAAGTATGTAAACTGATTTTAAAAGAGAATGTTTATTTTCATTCAATGAAGGAAGAGATTCTGATTCTTAAGGTGTAAACCAAGTAGCTACATTTTACCTTAGCCAGAGGAACAAATACAAGACACGTTAAAGATTTCACCGCAGTGGGTTTTATTTCTTGTTTTGTTCCATAAGGCAATATTCTCCTCTGCAAGCTAACTTTTCCATCTACCTTATAATAGTTACCAAGCGAATTCTTTCTGAGTCACACCTGTCCCTATATATACTATTTCTACAGAGTAAAGGAAGGATGTAGATACTGTACAATGACAAAGGCCCCCTAGATTTAATGTTTCTTTGGACAGTTTCTTCACTTTATCACTCTGCCACATATGATTCTTAGCTTTAGTGTTCAGATAATGCCAGTGTGTTTTATTAGAAGTGTCCAAGTATATATGGATTTGTTGGTGTCCCTAGGGCTGTTATATGTCTTTGAAATGCATGGACAAAGGGAAAAACACGTGTATTTACATCTAATGACTCTATACACTTGGTTTTTGCAAAAAGTGTTGAGAAAATGCTTCCCCAAATAAGACATCTTTGTGGAGCATTTAAAAGAATTCAACACTGAGCACATTTTAGAAATTAAATTATAAACAAAACAGATTTTTCCCACGCCATGCGTTCAAAATAAATAATTCAGAAGCTAATTTTACTAAGTTTTGGTCTCCTAGTAGGATCCTGAGTGGCTTTTGATTTTATATCCACCCTTGTCAAAAGTTAATTGTATAGAGGCCTCTACTTCTGAACAAGATGGAGTAACAGAGATTGATTTTACCCCCATTCTGAAAACAACCAAAGAATGCACAAATATATAAAGCAACAGATTTCAAGATTGGATGTGAGGCAACGAAGGGCAGTGATCCCTAAGAGGCAGGAAACAAGTGAGGTGAGCATTATGATTGCCTCAGGTTACTACACTGAAAGTGTAGTCACCAGGGTGCAGAGAGCGACAACCCAGACAGTGAGCATTAATGTGAGGAAAGAACCTGAGGAAAGAACCCCCTGAAAGGATTAGAGGAAACAGTTTCAGAAGCTCACAGAGTCAGGAATAGTGCCTGTTTCCACCAGCCAGACTGGAAATCCTCATTATTCACAGTGCACTGGGTAGAGTACACAGAAAGATCTTGTTTTTATTGTGGGGAAAAATGAGTGCTAGAAAGAGCACTGCTGTGAGCCCATCTCACAAATCCTAAAAGCAAGACCCAAAAGAATCAAATTTTTTTCAAGTAACCAAACCGCAGTGAGATCTCTCTAAACATCTATTAGAATAGTTAGAATTAAAAAGACAGACCACCCTGAGAATCAGTGACTATACAGAAAACTGGAATTCTCATACATTGCTGTTGGAAATGTGAAATGGTATAGCCACTTTGGAAAACAGTTTGGAAGTTTCTTAGAAGGTTAAACATCTTTCTATCTCATAATCCAGCCATTTTGTTCTAGGTATTTGCCCAAGAGAAATAACACTACTTGCCTAAATGAAGATTTGTAGACATTTGCAGCATCTTTATTTAAAATGGTAACAACTTAAAACAACCCAAAAGATCATTAATAGATGATGGATAAACAAATTTTGATATAGCCATATAATGCAATACTACTCAGCAATAAAGAAAGATGATTGACTGATAAATGTTATGACATGGATGAATCTCAAAATAATTATGTTGGGTGAAATAAATCAGAAAAAAATCACACACTGTATGATTCCATTTACGTAACAGTCTGTAAAATACAAACTTATCTATAATGATAGGAAACAGTTTGTTGCCTGAGCACAGGGGTGGAATTTGGGAGGGATGGGAGGCAGGGATTACAAGAGGTCATGAGGAAACTTTTGGAGGTGATGAATATGTTCATTATCTTGATCGTGGTGATGTTTTCACAGGAGCATATATATAATCAAAATGTATTCATTTATATACTTCAAATATGTACATTTTATTATCTGTTCATTATACTTTAATAAAACCATTTTACAAATGAATAATAGTAATTGTAAAATTCAAGTACACATTTCTCAAACTTGTATGTACCTTGAAATCACCTGGGAGGTTTTAAGTTATGCTGATGTCTAGGTTCTAAATCCAAAGATTCTAACTTAACTGCTCTGGGATGTGGCTTGGGCTTCAGGAGTTTAAAACCCCCTTCAGGTGATTCTAATAGGCAGCAATCTGAGAGCTTTTGGTATGTTATTTCATTTTCTCTGTAAAATTAGAAGTAATTTGACTTCAGGAGTCTTCATGGTAGATAAAAATTTTATCACTACCCATGGAAATAATCATCTTCCCCCCAAAAAGAATCTAGATGTCATTCCAAGTGGACGTTTTAGGTCTATGATGGCAATAACCACTTATAAAAACAAAGGAAGACAAAGATATTCTAATAAAATATACTCTTTCTGTAATTGCCACAGAGTGATGTTTTACTCAGTTGTCAATGATATTTATTGTTGAAACACTTGGGAACATTTAACTTTGGTAAAAAGCGGTTTGCTGGAGGACTTTTTACTACCTGCCTCCTAGAAAAAGTAGAGGACAGAGAGAGGAACGTGAGGGTCCACACTCACCTTGGCATAAATGCAGCTTTCATTGAGTCTCTGCAGTGAGCAGTTCTTGTCACAGAGAGGGCACATGAAGACTTCAGTGGCCTTGCAAATTTCTTGGCTTGAGAAATCAAAGAAGAAAAAGAAAGCATGAACCTCCATGTTTAGGAGGTACTTAGCCCCTATGGCCAACCCTATGGGAAGCAGCAAGGCAGGGAGGAAAAGAAGAAATGGAAATAGTTGGGGCCGGGGGTGGACAGGTGGAGAACTTAAGACAGTGGCTCCAACTCAAATTTCTAGGATTTTTGTGATACAGAGTTTTTTGTTTGCTTCTTTGTTTTAGAAATCTCTGCCAAGATATTGTAATGATAATAGGCCATATTTTATACTTGGGAGGCACCTGTGGGGCTTTGTCACAAGGACACTTTTACACCTGATTTCATGGCATATGCAGGATAATCTTGTGAGGAACAACCGAGGGTGTTTTAACCAAGCTCACAGGCTTGGACATGGCTGAGCTGGAGTCACATCTGACCCTGCTGATTTCTCAGGTCTAACGATCTTTCCCCTGGATCTCGTTGCTTTACAATCACCAAAATGAACAGCATCCATAATTCACATAATTTCATAACCCCCACTGCAGTCAATCAGTGCATTCTGTTCATTGGAAATCTGAGGAAGTTTATCGTGACACACACTGTCACGATAACATGGCATAGATTTTATTTACTGAAATATATAATATTCTCTATTAGAATGTAACTTCATAATATTTGTCTCTTAAGTTCTATGCTATCTTTTAAAAATCTCAGCATACATTATAGATGACATGAATAGGGCATCGATAACAATTTCTCAAAAGCCTAACAGCCTGAGAGTTCACAGCAACCTGCTTTTAAGAGGTTTTGTGCCTTTATCTGTCATACCTGACCCTTTCCCACTAGGTATACCATAAATAAATTGTCCAAGTAAATATGCTTTGGAAATATTGAAAGTAATATAAAGGCTTTCGAAAATATGCCTGGAAATGCAACTGTTATTAAAAGTTTAATTGGCAGTGCTGATAGCAAGATTTGCTGTTTTCAAAATGTATACACTCAAAGCAAAAAATAATGCATGTGTATTTCAAATGCCTGATGTGTATAATCTCGAGCCAAACTGGAAATGACTAGTAAGTAATAATGCTATACAGTAATACAATACTTTACAAAAAGCAAAGGTGGGTCCATGTCCATTACGTTTTGTCCTCAATGCAGTCTCCTGCAATGGTAACTATCTCCAAACTGAGAGGAAACTGATGTTTAATTTAAGTGATTCGCTCAAGGTCATACAGCTAACAAGAGGTAATTTAGGGAACTGAGTTTAGGTTTTCCTGATTCTAGGTCCAGTTCTCCACCTATAACTCATCTAAAGGAGAGATAAGTTTATGTCATATTAAGAGGAACTTTCCTATCAAAAACTGCTTTATTAATAATGATGATGGTGTAACAGGTCTTATATATACTATAATTCTCCCACTTTCACACACATCATCTTGCTAGTAATCATAATGTCTATGTGAAGTAGGAGGAAGCAGGTAAAACGTACATTTTAAAAACTCAAAAGAAAGAGACAATTATACCTCCTCTTAGTAATACTACTAATTTGTATAAATAAGAATTAACGTTCCTCCTGAAGAAAATTTTTATTAAAATAGGCTTGCTATCATAATTAACTGTGTTTTGAGAATGACATAATGTGCCCTGCATTGAAATCTCATACTAAAATGGCATTGTTTGGTTAATACTATATTATCTTTCCCACCTTCCAAATGATCACACAAAAGCACAGATGTTTCAAAGCACTCAGTCTAGAATCCCAGCCATTAGACTAGCCTTATTTTTATTTCCGGAATCATCAAACTCATTTTCTATAAGTTGTCCAAAGTTCAACTTGATAGGTAACATAAAAAATATTAAACAATTTTGGTAATGTATTTTTTAGCCTAAAATATGGAATTTGAGATGAAATCACAAAGTTCTTTGACTTTACTCAACCACTAGATGGAGGGAGAGTGCCCAACTTGAGTGTTTCTTAATTTCTTTTGCAGAAACTCATAATATAAACCACTGCTTGAAGTGTGGCTTTCTTTTGTCTTATATCTGTTGTTAGATATACACATCAAGGGCTGATTGGAAGGAATGATAATTACAACCCATTTAAGATATGGGACGAGGGAGCAATTTGTCCATTTGGGGATGGATGCCTGGACCTGCTCTAGGGTCTTGATGCTTCCTGTAATCCTGTTAACGTGACAAAGCACAGAATAAGAGGCTTGGTGATGTCCATTTTGGGGAAATGTGGTAATATGAAAGTAGGTTTAAAGGAAGGCAGTATGGAAGCATGAGTAAAGCATGGATTTTAGAATCAGATATAATCACCAGGGAAAAGCAAATCAAATCACAAGGTATTACCTCATACCTGTTGTGATTGTTATTATCAAACAAAACAAACAAAATAAAAGTAGCAAGTGTTGGCAAGGATGTGGAATATTTAGAACACTTGAATATCGTTGGTGGGACTATAAATTGGTACCGCCACTATGAAAAACAATACAGAGGTTCCTCAAAAACTTAAAAACATAACTACCATTTAATCCAGCAATCCCACCTCTAGGTATATATCTAAAGGAACAGAAATCAGAATCTCAAAGAGATATCTACACTCCCTTGTTCACTGCAACATTATTCACAATAGCCAAAATATGGAAATAACCCAAATGTCCATCCACAGATGGATGGATAAAAAAAATTGTGGAATTGACATACAACAGAATATTATGCAGCCTTAAGAAAAGAAGGAATTTCTGCCATATGCAACAATATGGATGAACCTGGAGGACATTATGTTAAGTGAAATAAGCCAGTCACAGAAGAACAAATACTGCATAATTCCACTTATATTAGGTATCTTAAAAAAACACACTCATAGAAACTGAGTAGAATGGTGGTTGCTAGGGGGTAAGGGAGAGGGAAATGGAGAGTTGCTGTTCAATGGGTATAAAGTGTCAATTATGTAAGATGAGTAAGTTCTAGAGACGTGCTGTACAAACAACATCGTGCCTGTAGTTAACAATACTGTAGTGCACTTAAAAATTTGTGAAGAGGGTAGATCTCATGTTAAGTGTTCTTATCACAATTTAAAAAAATCAGATATAGGTTTAAACTTACTAGATATTTCCCCCTAAGTCACCTACCTCTCTGAGGATCAATTTCTTAATCTCCAGTTGGAGATAATAAGCAACTGAGATATTATGTAATGAATATTGATAATGTGCCTGGCACATCATAGGCACTTGATAAATGGAAGAAGCCCTTATTGCTAAGGATGTGGTCAGGAGAGGATTTGAGAGGGCCTTTAGGACGTAACAGCTTTTGAAAAGCTGGTCAGTACTGAGGACCGAATACAGAGTTCTCATGCCAAAGAGGCAAGAATGGGCTGGAGAGTTGTTTCTGCTCTTTGTCTCAGACCTGAAACCCAAAGCCTGAGAAGCAGGGACCATATCTACCTGCTTGTTCATTTTTATATTCCTATGATATATGCTGTACCTGGCACAAAACTGACCACCTTTGATTGTATAAGACCAATGTGCATGTAAATACATACATGCACATATACATACAATAAATAATCTATAACATGATTTTCATGTAATTCTACAATTAACTGCAGAGCAGGTAAGAAATATGACATTAATTCACGTGACCATAGCTGGTAGAAACATAATACAACGGAATCTTCAGCTTTTTAACATTTTGTTACCTTGCAATAAACAAAAAAAGAGCTTAAAACAAAGCAACTCAAAATAAAAGCCCTATGTCCTCCACTCACTTGCCATGATACACCTAAGACTTAACCATGTCTGACACCTTGAATGGAAAAATTCAGTCCCATGAAATTTTGAAAGTCAAGATATTCAGTGATGCTTATCTTAGTTTAGAATAGAAAGTCTGACAGGATCTTAATTACAGTGTGACAGAAGTAGCAGTAATATAATACCACAAAGCACAGAAGAAAAGAGTTTGCTAGAGCCTTTTAAAACACTCCTTGTGCTAAAGGTTAAAGAATACTTAACTCATACAAAAGGAGCCTAATTTACTTCGCTGGCACGTAAATCAACAGGAACAGAAAATCTATTCCTTTCATTGCCTTTTGTTCATTTCCAGCTTTGTAAGCCTGGAGGAGGAAGTCTACACTACATGGGAAAACTTTGTGAATATGTTCTCCATGGAACCAATTTGAACAGTAGCTAACTGCCAAAAAATCATTTTCTGCTTTTGTCAATACATTTTAAAAGACCATTTTTTTCTAAAACCCTAAAGACTCTATCAAAAAACTCTACAACTAATACATGAATTCAGTAAAGTTGCAGGATAAAAAAATCAGTATACAAATATCAGTTGTGTTTCTATATACTAACAAAAAACTATCAAAAAGAGAAAGAAAACAATACAATTACATCAAAAAGAATAAAATATTTAGGATTAAATTTAGCCAAGGAGGTGAAAGGTCTATACAGTGAAAACTATAAGACGTTTGCAAAAGAAATTGAAGAAGACACAAATAAATGGAAATATATTCTGTGCTCATGGATTAGAAAATTTCACACTTTGAAATGTCCGTACTACCCCCAAAGATCTACAGATTAAATGCAATCTCTATCAGAATTTCAATGGTATTTTCACAGAAATAGAAAAACCTATCTTAACATTTTTATGAAACCACAAAAATCCCAAATAGCCAAAGCAATCTTGAGAAAGAACATAGCTGGAGGCATCACACCCCATGATTTCAAACAATATTATAAAGCTATAGTAATCAAAAGAGTACATATTGGCATAAAAACAGATACATAGATCAATGGAACAGAATAGAGGAACCATTAATAAGCCCATGTATATATGGTCAATTTTCGACAAAAAGCCAAGTATACTCAATGGGGAAAGGATAGTCTCTTCAGTAAATGGTGGTGGGAAAACTGGATATCCACATGTAAAAGAATGAACCTATAGCTGTATCTTCCACCATACACAAAAATTAACCCAAAATAGATTAAAGATGTAAATTTAAAACCTGAAAATGTAAAACTACGAAATCAATCTTGGCGATGATTTTTAGGATTTGACACCAAAAATAAAGGCAACAAAAGCAAAAATAATCAAGAGTGACTATATCAAACTACAAAGCTTCTGCACAGCGAAGGAAGCTATCAACAAAATTAAAAGGCAATCTACCGGGGGACTTCCCTGGTGGTCCAGTGGCTAAAACTCAGAGCTCCCAGTGCAGGGGGCCCAGGTTCAATCCCTGGTCAGGGAACTAGATTCCACATGCCGCAACTAAGAGTTCGCATGCCACAACTAAAAGGTCCCGTGTGCCGCAACTAAGACCCCACACAGCCAAATAATAAATAAATAAATAAATAAATAAATATTTTTAAAAAGGGAATCTACCAAATGGGAGAAAATATTTGCAAATCATATATCTGATACAGGGTTAAAATCTAAAATATATAAAGAACTCATACAACTCAATAGCAACAAAAAAAATCTGATTAAAAAATAGGCAGAGAAACTGAATAGACATTCTTTCAAAGAAGATACATAAATCAACAGGTACATAAAAAAGTGATCAACATCACTAATCACCAGGGAAATGTAAATCAAAACCACAATGATATATTACCTCATACCTGTTAGAGTGGCTATTATCCAAAAGACAAGAAATAGTAAATTCCCTGGCAGTTCAGTGGTTAGGACTCCATGCTTCCACTGCCAAAAACAACAACAACAAAAAACAAAAAACCCCAAGTGTTGGTGAGGATGTGGAGAAAAGTGAACCCTTGTGCACAGTTGATGGAAATGTAAGTTGGTACAGCTACTATGGAAAACAATAATGGAAGTTCCTTAAAAAATTAAAAATAGAACCACCATATAATCCATCAATTCCACTTCGGGGTATATATCCAAAGGAAATGAAAACAGGATCTTGAAGAGGTATATGCACTCCCATGTTTTTGCACCATTACTCACAATAGCCAAGATAAGTAAACAACTTGCGTCCATCAGCAGAGGAATGGATAAAGAAGATTTGAGATACACACACACACACACACACACACACACACACAAAATAGAAGAGTATCCAGCCATGAGAAAGAAGGAAATCTTGCAACTTGTGACAACATGGGCTTTGAGGGTATTACACTAAGTGAGATAAGCCAGATAGAAAAGAAAAATACTGTATGGTATCACTTTATATGTGAACTCTCAAAAAAGAAAGAAAGAAAAAAAAAAAGAGCCAAACTCATAGAGAATAGAGAAGTAGTAAAAAAAAAAAAAAATAGTATTTTTATTTTCAAGACACTATAACTCCAAATTACAATCTCACTTCTCTGCTTCAGAGGTTACTGATTCAACATCATACAAAGAAATGCCCAAAGCGGGATGAATATTTCCAGTGGGCACATGTTTGTCCAGGAGGATGCTGCCTTCCAGAGTGGTAGTGAGTTTGCAAAACTCTGAAATAAACTTGACACTAGGTGAAATGCTTTTGAACAGTAGGTGTTGCTTTGTTTTCATGCTAATTACCATTTGGCCTTCAGGAAGAACAAGGGGATTCTGAGATACCAAATCAAGGAATTTGGTTATGGAATAGGATTCAACCCTGGGACAATGAAAATATTTTGCTTTTAGGCAAAATTGTTATACAAATACATGTGCACATATATATAGATAAAGAATATTCAAGGAAATGCATTTTATGGTCCCATTAACTGTCATGATTACTACCCAGTAGCAAGGCCATAGTTAAAAGATGGACCAGAAGGGAAAAAAGTACTGAGCTTTTTTTTAAGGAGGGGAAAAGTACTTTTTCATATTTTGAATTGCATCATACAAGGTTGAACTTGATGAAATCCTTGTGGTGTAGTAAACAGAACATGCCGTTAAGAGGATTCTTTAATTAATTCTTTAACTCATTTAATTCTTTAATGTGACTTTTACCTCTGCTGAATAATAATGTTTTGTTCCTATATCCAAATCTTGAGTCATTTAAACTTTAACAGAAAAATCACCATTTTGATAAATGTTTGATGTTTCTCAAATCTTATTTTACTACCATTTTGATATCTTAAGTTGATGCTAAAATCTTTCATAAATCTATTATCATAGAGAATAAGAAGAAAGTAGAAAGTGATTTTATGTTCTCATGAGAGGAGACTACTTAGGGTAGGATTTAATTGGTATGAATATTTTGTTTAGACATCTTTAACTATGTAAGGTTCCCTCATCTGCTAAAAGGAATACTCATCTCCAAAGGTGGTAATGAAAGTTGCATAAAATGAAACAATATATTTGGACAGTCTTTGTATATCTTAAGTGTTTAGCTATTATAATTATTTGAATTAATGTATTGAGAGAGCATTCCAGACTACAAAATACTATGCAAATTTAAATTATATAGAACTGTCTATTGCATTGCTGAATTATTGATTATGTGGGATATACTATAAAGAGAAATTTGGCATAAAGAGAAGCAGTCTTAGAATTTATCCAAGAGACTTTGCGTATCAAAATATAGAAATGACCTTTTTATAGTTCTTCTCCCCTGCAAAAACAAAAACAAGCAAATAAATTTAGTACCATAACTCGCTTTTATAGTCAGCTACTATACTACTATACTATAAAGCTTTACTTCTTTACTATAAAGCTTTCTTCCAATCAGAAGAAAGGCCAAATTTTTTTAATAAGTCTGTTAATAGCTTACCTTACTTGACTTGCATTCATTGTTAATATTCCATAGAAGAAAACACACAAGCCAACAATAGCTGCAGGAATCAGCATTCCAGTATACCACCCCAGCCAAGCAAAGTATAGCCCAATCTTCTCACCAAAGTATAGCCTGCATGAGAAAGCAAATCCTTAGCTTAAGGCAACGTAAGTGACACTACAAATATTGATGTCGCACCTAGTCAATTTCAGATGGACAATTGACTATACTGGCTTCGCTCCTGTGCTCCATCTGGGGTATCTTAATAGTCTTGCTTGTTAATGAATCCAATAATGGTGATATTGTTTATCATTAAACACTGTCATTATAGGAGTAATTTTATTTTATTTATTATAGGAGTATGCTTATTTCTTTCTTTTTATAAGCCAGGTCTTGCTTTTCTTCATCCTCCTAGTAGAATCCCTTTTTGTTTTCCTTACACAAAGCTGTGCTAAACCATATTGCTTTGGCGTAAATTGAAAAAAACATCTCCCTCTAGGTAGCTGCTGAAAGCAGACTTGATTTCTGTCTCTATCTGCACCCTTGGCCCGACTCCCTTATGCCAGACCCAATCTGCAGAACCGTGTCACACATCTTCCTCAACAAAGTTCAACTCTGCTGTTCCTGGAGCACATGATTCCTTCCTTGGTTTATGCTGTTCCCTTACTTTGGAATATTACATTTCACCCTCTTCTCCTGTCTGGCTTGTACTTATCCTGTACTTTATATCACTTCTCCTGGGAAGCCTGCCCTGATTTCACTTCAAACCTGGGTTAGACGTCCCTGCTCTTGCTATCATATTCCCTTCACCCATGTTTCAGTGTCTTAAACTTGTAAAACTTTATGACAATTACCTGTCACTCCCCTATTCCTCTCCCTCCCCATCAGAATGCAAGCTGCTTGAAACTGGACCTGTGTCCTGTTTCATTAGCACCCACCACAGGAAGTGTTTTATTGAAAGAAGTGAAGGGAATGAATGCATTTTATTTCCCTTCAGCTTATTAACATAATTTATATGGAAGTAGCAGATGAATAAGGCAGTTCTGAAGACCACTCAGTTGTTCTTTCTTCACCGAATCTACTGCCAATAGTAACTGTCACAGTTTATAAAGCTCTGGTAAGAAATAATAATTTCTTGAATTCTGTACTGGTGTTTGTCCCAGCACTAGTTTTAAAGATTGGTGTTTTACAGTTCATTTGGGAATACCTCTCTGCGCAAAAATTCTTGCTGGGAAGAAAATTCTCTTTTATTTGTTTTTCCTTAACAAGACTTCTCTCTGAAAATCATTCTTTCTACTCCATTCTCTGTATTGTGCCAACTAAAATTTGTGCGTATTCTACCAAGTGTAGACATGGAGCTGTCCTCCACTGAGCAGCCTTTACCTAACTTTTTTGTTTTTTCATTTATTTCTCCTAGGAGACAGATCAATAGTCTATTCATTTCTTATATACTGGCGGTGTTCTACTTTGAGACGAAGCTTATAATATTAACAGGTATTCTAATATAGCCACTTGTTCCTTTAAACAAGTGTTATTCTGTGGGGTGGAGTAGGGTTTTGGCACATGTTACTAACATTTTTATAACAATGACTATAAAGGACTGCACAGACAGACCCCCTTATATGGAAAGCATTATACCAAGATTTTTTTTTTTTTTTTTTTTTTTTT